TTTATTTGTTAGCTTCCATCATTATTTCCGATGGCTATATTAAGCCGAGGAATATCTGTCAACTTACAGTAGAATACCCTCCGTCCTAAAATTTGGGTTACATGACATACATTGTCGACAGACTTCCGACGTCAAGGAAGTGGACGTAAGAAAACAGCAACATCAGCAGAAATGGTTCGAAAAATAAAGAAGCGACTTGATCGAGCCGAAAAATGGCTCGCTTGGCCGAAAGTGGTGAACTGCCGAATTTGGTCTTCTCCGTTTTGGTTTCATTCGTTGTCCAGCAGTTTGTAAACAAACAAAATGATCGTGTTTACCTGCCAAAGAGGTCAGCTGAAAATGTGCACCTTCAGTTGGCCACCAGAACCCAAGCGCTGGCCACGGTGATGGTGTGGGCCGTCTTAACTGCCGATGATCGCTCTTCGTTCGCATTAATCGACCGTGGCATCAGAATAAATCCCCAATATTATCGCGATAATATTCTGGAGGGTGTATTAAGCCTTGGGCACGCAAACATTTTGGCCCCAGACCTTGGACATTCCAACAGGACTCAGCACCATCCCACTCAGCACACGCCACCAAAGAATGACCACCAAAATCTCCCGATAAGAATCCGTTGGACTATTGTGTCTGGAGTATTTTGGAAAGCAAGGTTGGCACTAAAAAATACCAAAGTGTCGATCACTTCAAGCAAGCGCTTCGCCTGGAATGGGCCAAAATACCACAGAACAAAATTCGGGCAGCGTATGACGGTTTCATTGGCCATTTGATGGCCATAACTCGTGCCAAAGGTGACCAATTCGAAAAAATGTAAACTTATTCTAAAATTTGATGCTATTTCCGACATTTTTTTCTCTCATTCAATAAAGTTAAAAAAATGTAAAAATTATGGCGTTTGACTTTGTTGCATTTTTTTTATTTCACACTGTATAGTTTCTTTAGCTTTAATTCACCTTTTGTTACTTCTGTGTTTATATTCATCACCTCAGGCCATTTTTTGGAAAGATTTCCCCCTTGGCGTTACGTTTTATCGCCCTTTTCCTTGCATTTTTTACACAATTTTCGGATAAACTAATGCTTGATTTGTTTAGCTAGTTGTTGGTTTTGTAAATAATAATAATTACAATTATCTCACACTGTTACATGCTCACCATTCATGTTGCCAGAATCATTGTGGCGTATTAATTGCACCAACAGATCTATTAATATTCCACTAACAGCGATGTGCAGGAGACAGCTCAGAACGCCAATTACAATGGCATATAAAGTCAGATCCATAGTTCGAAACGGAAACGTTTCGCTGGCAGTGACGACGAGTGAACCGATGGAATACCACAACTAAACTGTTGTTGTGACAACAAATCTAATTCGAATGAAATCAAACATTGGAATTACGAAATCAATGGGGAATTACCTCGGAGTGAAGAGTTGATAATTTATCCGCTCAGCAGAGATATCCACAGCAGAATGACTAAGAGTTTACATTTTTTTTTCAAATGGGTGGATGGTTTTAAAGCCCTAGTACTGAAAGGGGAAGTACATGTGTGCTGCTGTTACTTATCAGCAAGAAAAAAACTTTTGCAAAAAGCCGATAGTACAGTGGAAAACGGACGAGCAAATGGACTACGAAATCAGCTGAGCTTGAACCGATTGTAAATATATAAAACTTTTTTGTAATGAAATATTAAAAAGTAATAATTTTTTGAGGTGCACACCTTACCCGTTAAGGAGAGAACAGAAGTGGATCGCTTAAATTAGGCATTTATGTGAAATAAATCATCAAAGTAGATCATTGTTAAGTACACATCATGGCCTTGGAGCGGTTCAATTTGAAATCGGATAGAATTAACCATTGAAAGCTAAATAAATAAATAGATTTCTACCTAATTTGACAAATTAGGTATTCGTTACCCTATGAAAATCGCGTTTTACAGCAATACTTTTTTGTCCCGTTTGTAACAAAAAAGTATATCTATTCTTGATCAGCGTAAAATTTTGAGTCGATTTAACGATGTCCGTTTCTTTGTCCATATGTCTGTTGAAATCACGTTTTTATACCCTCCACCATACATGATATGGAGGCTATATTAAGTTCGACATTCTGTTTGTAACTCATCGAAATGATCATTTTAGACCCAATAAAGTATATATATTCTTAATCAGCGTAAAATTCTAAGAAGATTTAGCACTGTCCGTCCGTCTGTCCGTCTGTTGTAATCACGCTACAAGCTAAACGAATTAAGATAGAAAGCTAAAATTTTGCCCAGATCCCTCTTTTGTCTGCAGGCAGGTCAAGTTCGATATCCGATGATTTTAGCCACCTTTTTTAATGGAATTGTCTGAAAATTCACACAAGTAGTTCTCTAAGAGCACTTTATCTCTTGGCGGAGAATTATCTATATAGGTCCACGATATCGTATATCCCCCATATAACCCCCCGATATTCGGTGTTTTGATGATTTTAGCCACATTTTTCAATGAAATTGTCTGGAATTCTACACAAGGAGTTCTTTGTGAGTACTTTTTCCCTTGGCTGAGAATTATCTGTATAGGAATTGTCTAAAATTATACACAAGGGGTTCCTTGTGAGCACTTTACCCCCTGAAAGGGATTTGTCTATATAGGTCCAAAATATCGTTTATCCCCCCATATATCGGCACCTTCCGAGATTTTAACAGAATTTTTAATGGATTTTATTTGTATTTTTTGAAAATGTCCTAATTCGTTCCAAATGGTAGAGGGTATTCAAAGTTCGGCCCGGCCGAACTTACTGCTTTTTCCTTGTTTTGGAATTTTGCTCAAAGGTTTATACTATGTACAGGTTTATTGATAGACCCCATAAAACGGTACATCCAGATTTGCGGTATTTTTGAAGTTTCTGCCACAACTTCCAACCAATTAAAATGAAACTTGTTCTCACTGTTCTCTGGTATTTTGATGAATTTAGTCACATTTTTAAATGGAATTGTCTGAAAATTCACACAAGAAGTTCCTTCCGAGTTCATTACCCTCTTGAAGAGAATTGTCTATACTGTTTCACGATATCATATATCCCCTATATAAGCGTTCCTCCCGATATTCGTTATTTAATGATATTAGCCACATTTTCCAACGGAATTGTCTGAAAATCCACACAAAGATTTCTTTGTGAGTACTTTATTCCCTAGAAGATAATTTTTTATACAGGTTCACGTTATCGTATAGCCCCCATATAACGGTACCTTACCTCCCCCCCCCCCCCCCCCCCCCCCCCCCCCGATATTCCGTATTTTGATGATTTCAGCTAAATTTTTTAATGGATTTGTCTTAAAATCCACACAAGGGGTTCGTTCTGAGTACTTTACCCCCTAGAAGAGAATTGTCTATGATTCTCCCGCATTGTTTCAAATTTAGTATTTGAAGTTCGGAACCATTAATACAGCTTATGACAAAAATATTTATGCAGGTCAACGTCTACGAATAACCCCCATCTAAGCGGTATTTTTCTAATATTCGCGATTTAGTCGAATTTGGCTGTTTTACCCCCATGAAAGTTGTGGTCTATTTTATCCGCTAAATGATTAGGCTTCTGCCCAGCCCCATGCAAAATTCTTGCGATCATCTCCGTAAACAATAGGTTTCCATGCAAAATTTTGTTAGGATCGTTCCATAATTGCGACCTGTAGCGTGATTATAAATTTACATGGATAGACGGGTAGACGGACGGACATACATAGCTAGATCGCCTCAGCTCGGCGAGATGTGCAAGATCCATATACACATTGCTATATGCAGACTTGCAGACTTTCGAGGTGTTACATAATTGTTGGCCCAATCAAACTTATAATAACTCCAATACATATTGCTGTAGGGTATAAAAACACATTTTTAAGTGATCGTAGTAGGATTTCCTAAGAATCACATTTTTCTGTACTTTTTGTAGAAATTCCTGGCTTATGATAGGTGAATTAGCAATATCTTTTGTAAAATGTCGATCAACTTCGTATCATACGCTCCTATTAGAATTAGAAATACGATTTACTTCACAACAATCAGTCGCCCCAGTCCGACTTTTTATACCCTACACCACAAGGTGATCAGGGTATTATGTCTTTGTGCATTTGTTTGTAACAGGCAAAAGGAAACGAGATAGACCCATAGTTCCTTTTGATGGTCTGCATAGAATCACAATCTGAGTCGATTTATGCATGTCCGTCCGTCCGTCTGTCCGTCCGTCCGTCTGTCCATGCATTTTTGTAAACAAAGTACAGTTCGCATTTATTGTCCTATCCAGATGAAATTTTGAACAAATCATTTGTTTGGCCCAAGGACGAACCCTATTGAAGTTGGACATAATCGGTAAAAATTTAGATATAGCTCCCATATATATCTTCGTCCGATTTGCCTTTTATTGTGCACCAAACGTATAATATCAGTACGAATAGTATGGAATTTTGCACATACAACCATATTAGGCCTGAAAATAATTATGCCAAATTTGATCGAAATCGGTTGCGATATAGCTATAGCTCCCATATATACTGTTCATCCGATTTGTTATTTTTGTCCTCCGCAGCCGTAATATGCACTCTGTAACAACAATATTTGGGGAAATATATCAAATACAGCTCAGAAATACATTTGCTAAATTTTATCGAGATCGGTTCAGATTTGGATATAGCTCCCATATATATATTTATCTGATTTCAAATTAATTTTGCACCAAATGTGCAATACAAGTCCGAATTTAAAAGATACAAATGCTTCGGCATATTAAGTCCTTTGAACTTTAAATTATAATTATAATCGAATTATGAATTCTCCCATAAAAAACTTTTGTTATGTGGAGCTCCACTAAATTAGCAAAGTTCTGTGGGGTATCATAAAGTCGGCCCCGCCCGACTTTAAGACTTTCTTTTCTGGTTATATATATTTTTTTATGCTGATTTAAATAACCCTCGTTCTATATTTCGCTCAACCTCATAATGGTGGTTTATTGAAACAAAGCACTTATTTTAAACTACGGCTGATTTGTAATGTTGTCTTGAGCGCATACAGATATTTCATTCGACAACTATGGATCGCTGTCGTTTTGCTTTTGTCATTGGCATTATAAATGTAATTTATTACGCTGTGAGCACCATAGTTTTTACCGCGATGATAATCAAAACTGAGCTTGACAAGAAACTAGTGGCTAGTTCTAGTAAGAAATATAATATTTCTGTGTATATATCTCCGAAATAACGTTTCATTTTCTCCCTACTTTGTAGGTCCATACATATTGGGTTTGTGTTGCGGTCTGATTATGGTATCTGTATCGATACTGATGATAGTGGGGGCCGCTAAAGTAAGTAATCAAATGGTCGCATTTGGAAATGATTCACTTTCTCTTGAATTAATATTTTTCCCTTTTTAGTCACGACATTCTTTTATTGCTCCTTGGGTATTATTAACTGGTTTCGGTCTGGTCATTGGTACTTTTTATTTATTAATCTTCGGTTACACGGTTCCAATTTGGGAGCTGTTTAACTACATCACATTTATTGGTTAGTATTGGATACATAACCCAGCATACATACTCATTACAAATCTAACTCTTAGTCCATAATTTTAACATGGAAATGTAAATCGAAATAAGGATTTATACCTTGGCCGCAAATAAGTCTAGAAGGAAGTTGTTATTGTTTGTGGTATCCAAAGAATAACTATCATTTGCGGAATAACCACTTATTTCGCTTGGCATACGCCCGTTATAATAATGCGTTAGTAACCCGATTTATAATGAATACTTTTGCTGCGATAATATTGTGAATCTTTCCTCTTTCAAAACTTATTTCATTTTTAGCATCGCAATCCGTAAGCTGCTATTCAATTTATCTTTTCTGGAAAGATACAAAAAATGGAGTATACAACAATGACTTACATATCGCAGAGCTTTCGAATCCCCCGCCTTATGTGCATTCCTCGGCAACAATATGTACCAGCTATGAAATAAATGATGCTGTATTGTGAATCATCAGATAATAGTAGATGATTATCAAAATGTCGTAAAAGAAAGGTATATATTGGGCATTTTTGAGCTCTGGTTCAAAAAATATGATTATGGCAGAGTGCATATTCCGAAAGTTGAAGATTTAAACACCAAATCGGATGAAACATATATATGGAGCTAGAGCTATATCTGAACCGATTGTTACCAAGTTTTAAATGTTAACATCTAGAATGAATTCGATCGGAAGTGCAACTTTTCACTCACTTTGGGCTGAAATTAGCCATTTGGTGCACAAGAAACCTAAAATCGGACGAAGATATATAGGGAAGCTATATCCAAATCTGATCCGATTTTGATAAAATTTGAATCATGTATTGTTAGGTTGAATCTAATATCTGGTACCAAATATCATTTTTATAGGGTGTATATTACGAATGTAAGGGACTTAAACACCAAACTCAGATAAAACACATATATGGGAGCTATAGATAGATAGATAGATAGATAGATAGAACCCGCAAGGGTATTCTCGAAAGAGAAAACGGGCGTAACGACCCCGCGGACCCCAGTTTGGCTTGCAGCCAGATTCTGCAACAAAAAATCCAGCAGCGTCTGACCCATAGTGGGCGGCTCGCTGGTCTGCGTCTGACTCCAGGAGGAGCGGCAGTAACTTAAATTATCCGTCATTGTTGGCATTAAGATCGAGACCAGTAAGATCTTAATTATGGCATACTGGAACACATTATTCGAACTAATTATCCCCTGGCCTGACAGTGGTTGTATTCTGGAACCTCAGTACGTAGAGTGACATCTTACCGAAATGGCTTCTAGGCTAATGCTACCCCTGCCTCCGTCCTATTAAAACTTGGGAAGTCTTGAAGTACGCTCTCAGTTTAGTCATCATTAGGTTGTTGGTGTAGGTTCAGTTGACTTTGTCCTGATTTATACGGGTCCGGCTCTGAACGCAATTTCCCATAAGGACTTTGCATCAACCCTTGCATGGCCTCCCTGCTTGCAAAGACAACCATGGGACCAGATAACGTAACTACACATCGAACTGAGATATCACCTTAGATATCAAGAACGCATTCAATTCTGCGGACTGGGATGTCATAAAACACACAATAAGGATGCGTAACATATCAGGATACCTGATCAATATTATCGATAGCTACCTGAAAATAGAACTCTGTTGTATGATACAGAAGAGGGTATCAAGCACTATAAAATAACATCTGGGGTCCCTCAAGGTTCCATCTTGGGTCCCTTCCTGTGGAACCTCATGTATGATGGCTTGCTAAACATAATATTACCAAAAGGCGCAAAAATAGTTGGGTATGCTGACGATATAGCTCTTATCGTCGACCAACCATCAACAGAACTAGTCGAAATTACAGCAACGACAGTTTGTCAAGGATCTCAAGGTGGCTTGTATCTAAAAAGCTATCCCTTGCCCCACATAAAACTGAGGCGATTCTCATAACTCGAAGGAGAAACTTTAATCTTCCAAAGCTATTAGTTGACGGATATGATATTAAAATAGAAAACTCACTAAAATATCTAGGAGTAATTCTCGACAATAGGTTGTCTTTTACACAACACGTCAAAACAGTATCTGAGAAAGCAGTTAGAACTGCAAACAAGCTAGTTAGAATAATGACCAACATAATGGCCCAAACCAACTAACCAGGAGATTAATTGCTTCTGTAGCGTACGCTCAAGTTACGTATGCCGCACCAATCCTAAGCGATGTCATAGCAAGAAGCAAGAATTTACGTGGGCACCTAGAAAAGGTGCACCGTTTGTGTGCATTACGAATTGCATCCGCTTATCGCACTACGTCCACAGCAGCGTTGGCTATCCTAGCTGGAGTGCCTCCTATTACTCTAACGTTAGACGAAAGGAGATACATATATGAAAAGAGAAAATTTTTACCAATCGGATACACAAAAAGAGATGTGTCTCAAATAAAACGACAAGCCAGAGATATACTATTTGCACAGTGGCAATCTATATGGAATAACTGTGAAAAAGGTAGATGGACTTTCAAGATAATACCTCAATTGGAAAGGTGGATAAATAGAAAACATGGAGAACTAAATTTCTATTTAACTCAATTTCTCAGTAGCCATGGAAACTTCGGTAGTTACCTGTATCGCTTTCATTTAAAAAATGAAGCAACCTGTGAAATATGTCACGAAAGCGAAGACAACGTGGAACACACACTTTTCTGGTGCAAACGCTGGGAGAACGAAAGAAGCGTCTATAATATATCGACTCAATGGTCCGTTGAGGATCTAGTTAAAAACATGTTGGAAAGTAAGGAAAGATGGTCGCAGTGCTCAATGTTCATTGAAAAAGTATTGACCGAAAAGGTGAAGTACCTGAACAGATATGAATCGAACCCCTAATCACAATCGAATGGACGGGGGAATAGAAATAAGCTGAAAGCCGTATGATCGGTTCACGAACACCACCTCGAAGTAATGCGAAAGCGGTCCCGGGTGGTTGTTCCGGTGTAGGACCACTATTGGTAGTGCGCTATCATTACGTCCAAAAAAAAAAAAAAAAAAAAAAGATAGATAGATAGATAGATAGATACATAGATAGATAGATAGACCCTTATAAAAAGAGTTTACACAATTAAAAAAGCTGTAAGTTCAGCCGGGCCGAACTTTTGGAACTTTGGCAATTTTTTTATAATTATTTATTACTAGCTGGCCCGGTTCGCGTTGCCTGCCCGTAGTTTTTGTCTATTATGCATATTTGTCAAAGCATAATAATTTACAGATATGACTGATATAAGAGTTCACGTACTGGTCGATTAAAAGTATTTTAAAATACCTGTACCCATATTTAAGCCGTGGACTTCAAATGTGTGGATGTGCTATACAAATCCATTAAAAGGTATATATCAATCTTAAGGGATCTAATTAATTTTTAATATGGTAAAAATCGTAGCAAAATTTTCCAGTCAATTGAGCAGGAATTTGGAATTTACTGTATTTTGTGCACCTCATAATTGAGGGCTGAATGATTTAAGAATAGTCAAAGTTAATTACTTTTTTAAAACCATTAGCACCTCAGATTGTGCATTAGAGTCCTCATAAGTCCCCCTAATCATGTCGGTTTGTTTGTCCGCCAAAGAGTGGACTATTATATGGAGAAAATTCTAAAATTTTTAGATATGTTGACATTTTTATGCAATATTTTCACCACCCGAATACACATTTTTAGCAAAATCTTTGAAATATGGTAAAATCAGGAGGAACCTTTATATGGGCACTACTCCGAAACATACCTACAAAACTTTCTTCTACAACGTTTAATACAAGATGACAAATAGAGGACAAACCCAAAATATAGCAGAACAACATAGCATGTCAAACTTAAAAAAATTTCGCGTGATTTAAATAAGTAAAAATAGTTTTATCCACCTCATAATTGAGGGCAGAATGATTTCAGAATAGTCAAAAATAATTACTATTTTACACCCATTACCGTTTTACACCCATTTGCCAATTGAATTGTAAGTTGGAGACCCCATAAAGTCCATATTTTTCATCATAGTATAATTCAATGACGATTCAACAAATATTCGGTCCCGTGCTACTTTCTTATATTTGTAATTTGTTCATGTTTCCACAATATATTTCATATAGACGTACATCCCAAATCTACGTTTCCAACCAATATTCTCTTGGGGGTTACAAGTTCAATAGAATACACAATTTTCTTTTCTGACCACACATTAGATGTGAAAGTGTACTTGGGGATAATCCAATGTGGGGACTTTAGTTAAATAAATTCCTATGTGGTAATTATCTGTATGATGGTTCCCTACTCTAGGGTAGCATAAATACAATTTTTTAGCCAAATCAATTGATGAATTTGGTCAAGACCAATATGGGCCCTACTCCGAAAATTTTATGCGAAGAGGTTCTCTACCCCCTTAGAAACAAAGATGCCAAATAAGGGCCAAAAAATGAAAAAAGTGATCAAGACCCCAAAAAACCTAAATCATACGATGGTTATATAAATATGAAATCGGGTTGTACCCTTATCCTTATTTTGAATGTTTGGGAAGAATTTCTGGAAGGATAGAAATCCTTTTCTTACTAAAAGTCCCATTCGCTCTACTATTTTGCACCCTTTAAATTTGGTATTTTACTGATTGTACTCCCAAAGAATTTTGCATTTTGAGCTCTCATTGGACGGATTATTGTCACATGAAAGAAGTAGGTCCACGCTTTGAAAGCCCCATTAATCTTTTTGGGTCATTTTTGTTTGTTTAAATTTGTTCCCATCTTCCAGCTGGCCCTGGAGTTGAAAGTTAGATGTCAGTTAACTTCGTATTTCGCACTTATTTAATTTTTTTTTTTTTTTTTGCGAAAAATTGTATATAGTGAAAAATTATGCTTTATTTTGTTAACAAAAAATCCACTGAATTCAATATGATAATACAATTGACAAAAGAAGAAAAACAATTAAAAAAAATCCTGATTCACTGATTTTTTATAGCAAATGTTTAAAGGTCCTTACAAAATTTGTCAGTAGAATGTACTATTATTTAAAAATTTGATTCCATTGACAATTTTTTCGAATTTTTCCCGATTTAAGAATTTTTGCAATGAGATCTCTTTTTCGTGATTTTTTAGCGATTTTGAAAAAGTAATTATCTTTTAACTTTGGCGTGACCGCGTTAAATTATTTCGATATCATCTATTCCGTTTCTCCACCACATAATTCGGTACATGTAACCCGCCATCAATTTCAGTTCTCAAGAAATCAAGTCAATTAAATAAATTGGTATTAATATTTGAATTCAAAAATAAAATATAAAAAACACTACAATGTACATTAGAAAAAAGTAAATCAAAATGGAAAAATATTCATGCAAAATAAAACATTATTATTGTACATTTCAAAAGTCAAAATGAAAATGTTAATATATCACATTTTGACCGATTATCTCCAATTTCAATAGGGTTTGTCCTTGGGCCAAACAAATGATTTGTACAAAATTTCATCTGGATA